TTGTGTGCGATAGCCCTAAGTCCTCTGTGAGAACTTAAAAGGGGAGATGACTCGCGCGCGGAGTCGCAAGCGCAACAGTAACGAATTCTGTCGGATGATGCACGATATCTGCAGTGCGTGAGATATCGAAAAAGGAAGTATTCACCTGCGGTGGAGGCTCCAGAATAATCCGAAAAGATCTCGCGAACCTTCCTCTTAACCACCGGTAATGTCGAGGAGATGGAGATCTGTGGAGTTACCAAAATACCTCGTACGAGGAGAGCCAGCGAGTGTCGTAGATACTCTAAAGGCAGTAACCCACTGTGCAAGCGCATTCAAAAAGGTAAATAGCCGTCGTCCTATATAGGCGCCGAAGAATTAACAGCTCGGCTCGGATCGCTGCCGCGTAAAGCCGACGCTGAGTCAGCGCCTCATTGTGATTGGTCCATTGAGAGTCGGCAGTCGTAATCGGCAATCGGGTCGGCCGATGCAGTCGGTAATCTGATACGGGCTTAACGGCGAGCGATATTCGCGCACAAGTGGATCGCGCCTGCCGCCCGCCGTGCTCTGTCCGTGCGGATGACAGCGTCCGCACGGAACAGATGTTTTAAAGCGTTTAAATTCTACCTCTAGCGCGATATAAGTTTTATGATTTTCCAAAAATTACTCGATTTTTTATCTATAACTGTTTAAACGATAGTAAGCTAAAAAAAAATGTTTCCGCCCGGGATCGAACCGGGGACCTTCCGCGTGTTAGGCGGATGTGATAACCACTACACCACGGAAACTTGTTGAGGTAGCACTCTTCCTAAGCAAGAATTCAGGAGTTTTTAAATTATCTGCTTTACATTTACGTAAATAATTTAGAAACATGTAAGTTTATTTTGTAATTTTCTAACGATAATATCACTAACATGATGTATTATTGTGCATCTTTTCTACCATATATTATATCTGCGCAATAACGGTGTAACGATAAAGATACTGTTGGTAAAAGAGAAGGCATGACCTACTGGAAGGTCATTTATGGACGGTCGATATTAATACAATGTGCTGAAAATTACAAAATTTATTAGGTATTGGCTAATGAATTGTAAATAAATTCTTCTAATAAATTCATTCTATAAAACTTTTTTTGCAATGTTCACTGAATTGTTTTAATAATTAATCTTTATTTAGTAGAGGTGGAATCTCAACAAGTTTCCGTGGTGTAGTGGTTATCACATCCGCCTAACACGCGGAAGGTCCCCGGTTCGATCCCGGGCGAAAACATTTTTTTTTAACTTACTATCGTCTAAACACTTATAGCTAAAAAATTGAGTTTGGAAAAAGAACATATTGAAATTTGACGGAAGTCTTTAAAAATTCCGATAACACTTGTGCAAAAGTAATGCGAAGTCGACCAAATCATGTAAGCATTTTGTTGTGAATCTTTATACAAAGAATCGTTGTTATCTTTATACCAAGAATTAATCGTGATACGTATATTTTGATCCGACCATTTCTTATCGGTTGACGGTTTATCAGTGATTAAAGCTGACTTTCATATCAACAAAAACACTCGTATCACGATTAAGTCCTCTGTCATAACATTATGAGTGACAATATAACTGTGTATCATTGCGTATCTTTTTTTAGCATATACTATATCTGTGCAGTATTAACGATAACGAGTTACAGAATCGCATTGCTGAAAACACGATATCAAATTGAGACGAAAGCGCCACCGTCGCTCACTGGACGTTTTTATTATTGATCACCAATTCACTTTTTTATTATTGATCATTATTCACTTCACTTTCGTACGTCAATGTTATTCCGCTATAGATATTTCACAATGCGCAATACATGCGACATGAGATTATTTTTGACAACAGCAATCTAAATTTTTCCACGCGGGACGTCATGTGTCTTTTAGAACTGACGTAGGGTAGATTTAAGCGTGCAAAAATAAATTGAACAAAGTTGGAGTCGCTGCCAAGAGGATAATAAAAGAAACGAATTCATGCGACCGAAATACATTAACAAATGCATGCGTATCTTATCGTACTGAAATTTGACGAGGGGAACGAGACTTATTTTATGGTTGCGTTTCAAAACGTCCTTTTTGAGGAAATTTTACTCGGTACTCTATAGTACATGTAACGTGAACTATAGGTATTGAATAAAATTTTCCTCAAAAAAGACGTTTTGAAAAGCAATCTATTGCAAAATTTGTCCTTTCATGAGAACTTTCTTATATAGTACCAAAGTTAATGTTATTATTATTAAAATGTTGCTATAATATCTCAGTAAATTAAATTTGTTTGCACGGGAAAATTTAATCAGGCACTTGAATCTTCTGAAATCTTCATCAGTATTAGGCGAATAGGGCTTAATATTAGAATCACCACTTTTAGAATCTTTTCTAAAGCTGCGGATGGGTCATTTTTGACTTTTTTGTAATTATTCGTGGACTTTCTTAAACTTTATAGTATCGTTTAATTGTTTTATGATAAAGACCGTTTACCTAGTAATATCACTCGCTTAATACAGTCTTTATGAATTCAGTATACCGTAATCAACATTATATCTCCTTATTATATAACTTTCAAGAAATGAAGAATTCTGCTGATATAACTTACATATTTAGAATCACTGCGTTATATTAAAAAAAAAAAAAAAGATTTTTAACATTGTGCTAAGGAAAATTACAAATGTGTATTAAATATAAGATTTTCAAAATATGGAAAAGTAGCAACGGACGGAAATAGCGGTAAGCAACTCTCAGAGAGCAAGTAAGCCCAATGTTTTTATTTGTAACGCAACAAAAATAAAATATTCAAGAAAATAACATTTTTTCTTGTAGAATAACAACATTTTTTTTATAGAAAAAGACATTTTTTGCTATAAATACATAAAAAATGCAGTAGCATGTGGAAGGGATCCCGTGTTATACGCAAGTAATGCTAAAATGCAGATGCTATTCCATTTAAAAACGAAAATGTCTCGAGAATCCGACAAAATAAAAAGATACACAAAGTACTAATAAAAATACAGTATTTCTGACAGTAAATAAAAGTTGAACTATCGGCAGTTCTAGATAAATTTATCTCCTTGGAAGATACAATTATCTACACAGAGAGAACGATTTATTGAATCAAATAAATGTTTCTTTGGAATAGTCAACACAAATTATTTGGTTGACACAAAAATTTCTTTGTAACTAAGTCGCAAATAAATGTTTTGTTGCGTCAAGAAAAATTTTGTTCCATCAAAAAATTCATTTGGACTATTCCAAAGAAGCGTTTATTTGATTCAACCAAATCGTTCTCTCTGTACACATAGCAGAACTATTTAAAATCTTTAGGATATCCCTGTGATATATTTGGAACATTTTTTCTGTGTGGATACTTATATGTGTTAATTTATTGATGGAAAGTTAGGGAAGCCTAATAATTCCCCAGGTGAAAATCCAAAAAAAAGGAATAAAATAATTTAGAAATGGGTAAAAAATAACTCAGCAGAAAGGTTCTAGAGTTAAAATCATATAAATATAACCATTAATATGAGTGCGCGCATTTTACTGCGTCTATTGGTATATGCGTGTACACACTATCGCATATACTGCCGAGTTATCAGGGCAACGACTAATGACATGTCTTCGTTCTTCAACTTATAACTTCGGCAAATCCATATAACACAAAAATATTACACTAACATTAAACTTAAAAAGCTTTTAATCATGTTGCTGAAGATGGTAGCAATTATCATGACTTTTTTTAAAATGTTATACTTTTCAGTACTTTTAATAAACCTTAAACCTGAATATTAACTCAAGATTTTTTTGGATAATTAAAAATTGCCTTGTGATTAAATTAATATCAATAATATTCTTGATCTTGATCGTACGTATATCCAAAATTCTTGCAAAATGCATTGAAATAAAAAGTGATGGTAAATATGCAGTATAACGCTCTTTTCTCTCTCTCTCTCTCTCTCTCTTTCTCTCTTGGATTTTTTCAAACTTTATAAATTTGTATATTTTAATGCGTAGAATTGATTTCTGAAAGCGAAAATTGTCGCTTATTTTTTGTTTTCTTGTCTTTTTTATTTTAATGTTTTATGATGTCGGTAGAGTAAGAGTAAGAAAGTGATAACTTTCATTATGAAACTTAGTAAACTAATAACTTTCAAAACTTAATAACTTTCATCATAAAACTTTCAAACTTTGTGTCAATGTGTCTAATTTCAGTTGAATCTCACACAGCAGAAATGTCCCGAATATATCATAAAGATATCCTACAAATAGACATCTCAAATAGACTTGAGACATCTTTATAATATCTTTGTGATGATTCGGGACATTTCTGCTGTGTGAGATTATATTATCACCACCCAGATAGCACAGAGAAGAAAGTTCAAAAAGAATTTAGTCGTATTTTAGTCGTAATTTAGTCGTAATTTAGTCGTATGTCACCAATTCTGAGTTCATTTTCATACAGATGCAAAAATAATTCTTCAGAGTTCAGTTCAGAAAAAAATTCTTTTTGCATTTAAAAATGAATTTAAAATTGATGACATACGACTGAATTCTTTTTTAATTTTCTGTGCTATCTGCGCACATTATAACTTTTAAACTTAATAAAAATGGCATACTCAGTGGAGCAAATTAATAATAATCCTTAGCTTGCAGTTCAAAATGTTGTCGGTGATGCAAAATTGTGACCTAAATTTATTAAAAAAATGTTCTGGGACCGAAATATAAAAGATCACAATAGAATGATTTTAGTTAATTACACTCAATGAACAATGACACTCGCGATTGCTCATGCAGATTTGCAAGATACTTTAAATTACAGAATACAGAAAACCTTTTGCTCCAATAATCAATAAACAAACCGTAAAATTACCGTGACATATCTGAGTACGTGATTCGGTCACTCCAATTTTACGTGCAGCGTGTTTTCACACTGTCTAGATACGTCAGTGAAACAGCGTGGTATGCGCATGCGCGAAATTTGGGGCGCATATAGCAACGGCATGATTCTGGTGCGCGAACGACGTTTGTCGTCGACAAGTCATCGCTCGGCATTAGTGTCGGTCAGGTCGGTAGAGTGTCGGTTGTGCTTTCAATTGCCGCTGTTCCACTAACATAAGCGCGGAAAAATCCTTTAGCGCGCACCGTCGCGTGTCGTCGCTCCGTCGAGTTGGACTCAGCAGTGAAAAGCCGCAGGCAGTCGCAAGAACATGAAGTTCCTGCTCGCGCTCAGCGCGCTTCTAGCTGGTGAGTTGCTCGTGACACACAGCTGATACATCGATAATCATCGCGCGTATATTCTTTGTTCGACTGCGGTCTCTTGTCTGCGGTCGACATTACAACTTGCGCGTATCCCGTATGTCGCGCTGACGAAGTTCCCTCTTATCTCTGTTCTCAAACATTTTTTTTAAATTAATGCGCACTTCCTGAAATATTTTCATTTGGCAGCCGTGTGCGCGTTCTCTTATCCTTTTTATTTTTGTTTTGTAAACACGTTATTGTTTGAGCTGAAGTAAGCGGTAACATTTATATGTATAGTGACCTCGGATTTCATCGATCTTCCTCCTTTCCCTCCTCCTCCCAATCCCTAGCTACGTACTGTATAATCCCAGCTCGTGTTTTTCCATCTCTTTTGTCCGCTCACTCGTTCACTCACTCACTCCTCCTGCTTCTCTTCCGTCGCGCTATTATACGTCGTCCGTCTCTTTTGCGTCGCCGGCTAATCACGTTTCCATTACTCATTGCGAAAGAACTCTAGTTCCTAGGACGAGTAAGATGACTCAGTCGATTCGCGCATGTAATTTGTCAATTTAGGTTGAATACCATTGTGTGTGTCGGAAATGTGTTAATAACATCATCGATAACGCTGCACGTACTTATCAATTGTACGATAATTATGTTTTCGCGAAAAATGTTTTCGTTTCAGCAAATCTCATTGCCGAGTTGCTCTTATTATATTTCCATGAATATAAATAAACAAGAATACCAGAAATCGGTGAATTTCAAAGAGACGTGTGATACTTTTCCTAGTAGCTTTCTCAAGTTCCAGTTCATTGAGGCGATATTTGTTACAAATCATGTTCCAATATACCAAATATTGGCCCAGTATATTGTAAAGTAGGCTTGCATTTTATAACCAATATAAAATTTTGAATATTAGCCATTCATTTGTTATCAATATTAGTTACATATTGGGTTATATTGACCCAATGTATGCTAATATTAGTGCAATGATGTACAATATTGACAATTTATTCACTTTTATTTATAATCAATATTATCTATATATTGGCTATATTAGCCCAATGTATGCCAATATAACCAATATTGGACCGACGTAACACCAATGAGCCATTCTACTAGGATTTGTACTTAACATGTTCTGTGTAGTTTGAGTCATCAGTGATTTCCTGTTGAATTTACAAGATAATAAAAATTAAGAAAAAGCTTTCCTTTTTTCCATTTCTGCATAATATTGTTTTTTCACTCTTATCTTAAATACATTCTTAAAGTTTAGCCATTTATCCAGACTTATCTTTAAATAAGTTCTTTATAGCTGCATTGAGTTATACTGCCTATGATATTTGTCTATAATATATTTGAATTCCACTTTAAATAAAACGGGTATATATTTGATGCTTGGTAAAAGAGAGAAAAAATAGAAAGATTAGAAAATAGAAAATAATTTAGAAGAAATGCAACTTTGAAGAACAGCATATATAGAGATACTTACTATATATAGAGGATTATTGTAAAACTAAGTTGCGTTTTTATTGCAAGACTTTATAAATTATTATTATCAAGAAATGATAAAATATAGTGTGCCACAAAACAAAATGAGTTTAGCATACATAGCTAGCAATGTAAAAGAGGGCATCATATGGAAGAAGAACAGGAGTTTATCTTAGTAATTTAAATAATGCGAATTAAATGTTACATTAAATTACCATAACATGGAACATGTTTATTGCATTATAAATTACCAATTGTAATAAAAGGCTTGTGATAATGATCAAGCATACTTTGTTTTACAACTTTTAGTCTTTATAACATACCCATGTGCAGCCAAGCATTATGTTAATAAATTTTGTTTATTTTTTAGTATCTACAGCTAACGTAATAATAACAGCAGTACCAGATAATCGTCCTCTTTTGGGCACAGAAGAATGTACGTGGGGTCCGAGTTATTGGTGTGAGAACCTAAAGTAAGTTTACATCATGACCAACGTTAGTTTACTTCATGATTGCGAGTAGTCATTTGCCCCCTAACCACGACTCCGAATACCTTGGTGACACATCTCAAGATGAAACTGTTAACACCGCTAAGTACATCATTTTATACCTCGTAACTTTTGTCTAAAACATTTTTCTCAAAAATAGCATAATTTAGAAATATCTAGCCTATCCCGACATATCTCAGATACCTTGTATGCAAATACGTAAGGAAGACCGGAGCTATATGGCCTTAGAGATATGTTGCTCATATGCTTTTTTTAGTATTTATCTTGAGAAAAATAATGGATACACAAAATCGCGAAATGGTATTTTTAAAACATACTTTTCTCTGAGTTTCATTAAAATCAGAATAATATTACAATTAAGAAATAGGAAAAAAAAACTGATTTCATAATAGCAAAGTAAATTTTCGAGTCTCTCAAAATTGTCTATAAATATTTTTCATTATGACTGAATAAAATTAATCAGTATGAGTTACCAGCTAGAATAAAATTTCTTACAAATATATGATATACTGTTTCTGACAATAAATACAATTTTCAAACTTAAAATGATTGAAATAAAGCATATAGGCGGACGAAATAAAGTTGACCCATAATTGAGGACTGGCGGAACGGCTGTAGAGACTTCTCGCGGAGATTGTAGAACTATTAATCAAGATACGTATTTTATTACGTGGCTTTACCTTGCGCTATTGAGCAATTGAACTCGATACCAGGGCAAGATGGCTCATGTTCGTGTTTAGATTGTTGCAAAACAAAGTATACGGTTAATAAGATCGTAGCGGACATTACATATATAGAAGAAGGTTGCCTCTATCATGTTTATACAGTCAGCCACAACAATTAATTGCCTGAGAAGTAATAACTTCAAAATTCTAAAATATAGAGAATCTAGCCCCGATCTCCCCTTCAATAATTGCTGAAGTTATTACTCTTTTATTTAGTATTTTTCGATTATATTATGTAGATAATAGAGAAAGCATTTGTAATCGATATAGTATTAACTTTTACGATGAGTTTCCGGCATCTTACAAGGGACACTCACAAGGGAAAAATTATATTGAAACGGAGAAAAATATATTTTAAAACTTAAAATTTATACTTTCGCATGATATTAATAAAGTTAAAAAAATATTCGCTCATAAAATTTATAAAAGTCATTGTATTTACCCCATTTTATCCCATTTTTTCAAAATTATGATATAGTTATCAAATGTAGACAATGGAATCATATTTAGTGGCTTAGCAAAAATGATTGTTCACATTCATGAGGCAAAAGAGGATCAAGATATGTACGAAAGTTGTATTGAAAGAAAGAGAATAAAGAATTGGAATAGACATTCAATGCCAGTAAGGTTAAAAACATTGAGTTAAACTTATAAATTAAAAAAAAAATGTATATTTATATAACATGATAGGAATACTGAAATGTAAGTTTCTCTCTGCGAAATTTATGTGCGCCATATCGTACTAGTTGCGATAAAATTGTTATCGTGTTATTAACATATTGCTGACCATAAATGTCTAATAGGACGGCCAAAGGATGCAATGCTGTCAAGCATTGTATCGAAAGATATTGGGAAAAGATGGAAGTCCCGGAGGATACCGACAACGTGTGCGATATTTGTAAGAATATGGTGCAACAAGCGCGCGATCAGTTGGAGAGTAACCAGACTCAACAAGACTTGAAGGATGTTTTCGAAGGCAGTTGCAAACTTATTATTATCAAACCAATTGTCAATGAGTGCATCAATATCGTGGATCAATTCGTTCCTGAACTTGTGGAGACACTGGCGTCTCAAATGAATCCATCTGTAGTTTGTTCCGTCGCGGGACTTTGCAATAACGCTCATATTGACAAATTGCTTGCGGAACATCAAGCAGTGATATCAAAGGTAAGGGTTGACATATAGAAAAATATTACTGGTCAGTAAGAAATTACTATTGCTTACTCTAGTTTTATTACTAGTGACAAACGATTTTAAGTATTTAGATTACAGGGTTATTGATGTTACAGAATAATTCAGTCATAATGGTAACAGTGATAATCACTGGCGTATTATTAGGTTTTTCTGATAAAGTACTGGTGTAAATTATTCTTTTGATAATGAGATAGATAAACATCAATTTTCTTATGATTAATATGAATTATTTCATATCTTGTATTTTTCAAACTAACTTAATATTTGTTCTAGTTCGCGTTACAATGTTTAGTTAAAAATCTGAAAGCAATCATGTCGTTAATGATTCGCTGATATATATTATAACAATACCAGTGGCACTTCGATTGTTGTTGTGTTGTTTATATTATTTGTCAATAAATATGCCATTACAATGTTGTTTGAACGATATAAGAGAATATTATGAGCATAATTCCATAATAATTCAGTAATTAAGTTACTTCAAACTTGTCTTATGTGAGGCTCATATCTAAATTTAGAGTTAGATAAGAGCTTTTTATTTGAATCATATAATACATGTGATATTATATTTGCAATCGTGATTCATCTGAAAACTCACGTCTAACTCTAAATTAAAATTTGAGTCTTATTTGAAGCGAGTTTCAAGATTCGCTTGAAAATTCGAACTTTACCCGGCATATTGTATTCACCATTTTGAATTTTATATTTTTGATATCGGATTCGTAATCAGCGACCACAAAAACCCCCGAATAACAAATTTCAAGCGAAACCGGTCGATTTTGATAATTTTTTCCGCCATATTGTATCCACCATATTGTATTTTTGATATTGAATTCATAATCAACGATCTCAAAAACAAGTTTCAAGCGAATCCGGTCAATTTTGAAAATTTGGCCGTCATATTGGATCCGTCATTTTGAATTTTGTATTTTTGACATCGGATTCATAATCAGCGACCTCAAAAACCCTTAGATAGTGATTTTGAAATATAGATTATTCAGAAAAATTTTATGCAAACAAATTTATTCACTAAAAACGACACTTTTAATATATATTTATTTGTAACAAATTATTTATTTAAAATATGGTTCTAAAAGTTAGTTTATTGGTTAGAGAAATCTTTTAGCAATTCAGTAATACATGCTAAAAGAATAAAATACATAAAAAATTTGATTTACTGAAAAAAAACTTGGATGATAAGTGTTCTATATAGCTAACACTATACAATAAAGAGTGAATTACTGAAAATAATTAATTAATGAGAAATAATTAATCACTATAGTTTCTTTAGTAATTACTAGTAATACATTTCTCTATAATCTAAAAAAAAAGACCTACTGATTTTTATTTAAATTTATTTTTGAAAAAATCTCTCTTTTCCTTATCCTATCAGACAAAGGCTACTCAAAATATTATTCCTCAAAATAAGCGAATTGTGTCAATCGCCATTGCATGATCTATTGACACGCGTATGAATATGTATTCGTTAAATATTTTTAAAGAATTAGCGAGATTAGATTATTGAAATTTATCTTGTAATAAACATTCGCTCGGCGTTATTTACATACATGTCCTATATGTGTGTCATATTTCATAGAAGGCTTTTGATCTCTTATATCATAGTTGTATTGAATTTTATATATGTGTGTGTATATATATATGATTTGTTAAAGATAATATCGCTTATTTGCTACAACAATGACATAAATCAAAATTTTAGCATTTTTTAGTAATTACTATAAAAAGAACAATTTCCATTTAAATTTTTAATTTTTAATTTTTAATTTTTAAATTGATAACAGTTTTTTAAAAATCGTATTGCAGCAAATGAGCAATATGTCAAATTTAATTTATGTCAAACTTAATTTATTTTTACAATATATGTATTACAATAAAGTTTTTTTTTTTAATCAGAAGCCTTAATATTGCAATAACATATGCGTATTGTATTAAAGGTTATCTTTGTTTATTTAATTGGTAATTGTGTGACTGTTGATTAAATATTGTTTCATTTTTAGAAGGATGGAACAAAGTCGTTTTTATTGAAGGATGACGAACTTGAACCTGATGAATGTTCTAAATGTTATACAATAGCGAAACATATGGAAGATAAAGTGCAGCATACACCGCGCGATACAATGCTTTTGCGGATGTTATACATATGCGGCGAATTTGATTCTTTTTCGGACGCCTGTTCTGATATTATTATGTCTAATTTTAACGGAATTTACGAACATATACAGAAAAACTTCAATGCAGATAATATATGTCATTTGTCGGGACAATGCAGCAACAAATTTCATAAACACGAGGATGATACCGATACAGTAGGTATTTTAATTCGATTAAGCCGCTAAAAATTATGTTAAAATACTAAATCATATACTATTATTAGGTCCCAAAAGTAGAGATAACACCCTTGTCGAGTGTGGGCATGGTGGAAGTTGACGATGATCTACCGTGCAAGCTATGTGAACAACTAGTGGGACACTTGAGGGATCTTTTGGTTGCAAATACGACAGAAATTGAATTTAAGCATATTCTTATCGGTCTTTGCAAGCAGACAAGATCTTTCAAAGATGAGGTTTGTGAATTCAATAAGAGTTATATATATATTCTACTTACATAGTAATAATAAAAATAATTTATATATATATTCTACTTACATACATAGTAATAATAAAAATTACTTTTCTAGTGTATTGGCATAGTCGAAGAATATTACCCGCAAATTTATGAATATCTTACTGAAGAATTAAATAGCAATGTTATCTGTCAAATGACCGGAGTTTGTCCTTCTCCAGGCAATATGCAGGTGAGGATATATTTTATTAAATTTTATAAATTGTATTGTGCGTATATAATAATATCTTTTATGGATAATAGTGTTAAATTGAGTAAATTTTGTATGTTATATATTGTGATTGCAGGGACCAGTTTGGCCTTTGGTTTCAGAAAAATCAGCACAATTAGGATTAAGCATAATGAATGAAAACCAACATGAAAAGCAAGTTGAAGTCACTATCGGTAAGGAGCGTCCGAAATCGGAAGCTGAAGAGATGCAATTGCCACTTGAGAGATTAGTACCATTTTCTCCGATGCAAGTTGAAGGTGTTGAAGGAAAAGAAGCATGTGCACTGTGTGAATATTTGTTACATTATATACAAGATGCTGTTTCAAACCCTACCACCGAGGTAACATAACAAATAAAAATAGTACATTAAATAAAATTAATAAAACTAAATTAAAAATATAAATTTACAATAAATAATTCTAAAAGAAATATTAATTTAAATTTTAAGTATATCATATATAAGATATCTGGCGCAATTCGTATGTGTCCGCACATGTACGGATAGAGCTTATTAAAACTTATTAAACTAAGAGAAAAGAAGTACTGTACCATTTTGTAAACAACCACGTGAATATTTGATATATTAATTATAAAAAATTTGAGAGAGGGAGGATAAATAAGTGCATATGATATTGTAAAATAACTTTTTTAAGTTCGTCTAAAATGGAGTCTCTAATATGTCTGAATCAATCGACAATCTCTTGACAATGGCGGGCAGTGACGTAATGAAAAGTGGGGACATATAATATCATCCAACATTATGCACAGTTCACTGTTGCCAAGACTTTTGATTTAACATGAGACCCTATTTGATTCCATAAGACAAACCTAAATAGCTTGTTCCACTGTATCACGCATATTTATTTACCAAGTTTATGCAACTAATATCTCAAAAAATCACATAGTTGTTTGCATAATGACATAGGACTTTTCATTTGGTTCTACAAGCGAACATTCGAATTGCGTCACTCTGTATATTAAATTTTCAGGAGAAGGTAAAACAAGTCCTTGGAAAGATGTGTAAAAAGTTACCTAGCATTCAAAACCAGTGTCAAGAATTTATAGATACTTACGGAGACGCAGTCATGGCTATACTCGTTCAAGAAATCGATCCCGCACAGGTGAGTGTATTTTTCACATTTGAACGTAAAGTTAGTGAAGCATGTCTTAACTATTTGATTATTCAAGGTATGCCCAATGATACATGTTTGCCCGTCGAAGGAATTATTGCAAATGTGGCAGCAAATTCCCAAGGGATTCATTATCGAAGAAGAGAAGCGGGATAAGCCAAATTGTCCGCTTTGTCTGCTGGCAGTGACACAAATTTACAATGCTATTGAGAACAACAAAACTGAGGTAGTTCGCTATTAATCATGTTGTGACAATTCAAGTACACACTTGTACAATCCGTTCGTTCATATTTATGTTACAGGCTACCATTCAAGCTGAATTGAATAAATTATGCAAGCACTTACCAAATAGTCTGACTGATCAATGCGCTGATTTCGTGAAAGCATACAGCAAAGAGCTCATAGAAATGCTACTTGCAGATTTGAGTCCCCAAGAAGTATGCGTCTACCTCAAATTGTGTGATGCTAACAAAAACCTTGGTCCAAAGCCGGTTTCTCTTGATGAAAAGGATGGAGAGATACGTAAGTTGTTTTCATACAAGCGACACGTGGTGAAGCGCATTACATATAAATCAACTACAAAGATATCTGCAAGAAATGATTTTATTTTCTTTTATATATTTCAGTAACTAATGAAATACCAGAGTATCCATTAACCCCTATAGAATTTGCAAATAACAATCTAATGGATAACGGAATATGCATAGTTTGTGAATATGCGATGCAATATATCGACAAAGTGATTGGTAAAGAAAAGTCGCGACAGAAGATCGAGGAGATGGTTCATGGTATATGCAATCATTTACCAAAGAAACTTTCCACGGAGTGCAACCAGTTTGTGGATAAATACGCTGACATCGTGATAACTATCCTCTCAGAGGATGTCAGTCCTAAAGAGGTCTGTGTCATGATTGGTCTTTGCCAGAGCAGCCTGCCGCACATTAAAGGTAGATTGACTTTGAAAAATAACCCGATAATATAATTAATATATGATCACTGTTATTTTAATATTTACATAATTAATGCAATACATACAGAGTGTTTGACAATTACTACGATATCCATCATGTAGTTGTAGATTAGATCAAATTAAACAAGAAAGTTTTTTATAATTTCGTAAACGACTACGCAAAATCTTGTTATTAATTAAAGAAGATTAGCAAACGACCGTGCGTGATCATTCGTCAATCTTCTTTAATTAATAATTTAAAATTTACGTTTGCAAAATGGTTGAAGACTTTTGTGCTCAGTTTGATGAATTTTACATGCACATGAGCGGATGTACAAATTGCGTTCTGTATGTACGAGACGTCCTGATATATAATTAATATTATAAATAATATATGATATTAGTATATATTATATATTAATAATTAATATATAATTATTATTATTATAATAATATATAATAATTATAATATATAATAATTATTAATATTATATAATATATCAGTATTATATAGTATATAATTATAATATAAAACAATAATACTACAATATATAATTAATATATAATTAATGTTTGCTCGCGCTACTAATATCATGCGTGTGCAATGGATCTCTCACGAGAGATTGACGTCACATATATATGATAGTGAAAATTTTTTTATCTATGTCTACATAATCTAAGTTTATTTTACACTATTGCATAGAAAGATACAAAGTGGTCTGTAGCGGACGATTTTCCAGTCGTTGTGATGTAGTGAACATATGAATTAATAAATTAGTCAATATTATACAGTATATTCAACGTAATGGTATCCACTATTTCTTTTCATTAATTACAATGATCGTGCAGAGAAAAATCTTAGATATAATTAATCAGTTTTTAAACGACAATAAGACACAATGATAAAAATCTCGAAAACGTTTTTTCTTTTTTCGTAAAAAGATCAAGTTTATTTTTACTTTTTTAAAGAAAACTATATCTTTTTTATCCATAATATCGTAAGAAGGATCAAAACATAAATTCAGTAGTAAATTCTAGTATTACTTTTACTAACATCCAATAGTGAAAATACAGACAAAATATAAGATAATGTTTAAAATACAATGTGTAATGAACAGTGTTAGGTGTTATGCTTACAGGACATGTTCGAAATATAATCCATTTTCTGCAATGCAAAGCTCCGCCTTTTGTAATAAAGTTTTATATATTGCATCAATTAGGGTATTTTGATTTATGTTTCTGCAAGCTTATGTTATGTTATTAAAATTTTTCATTATTATTTTATAAATAAACTTTTTAAAATAGTAATAAAGATAACATTATGAGTTACTACTGAATTTGTTTTGATTTTCCTTACAACACTGCATAAAAAAAGATAATTTCATTCCAAAAAATAAAGGTGACCTTGATATTTTTACGAAATTTTACAAAAAATGTTACGAAAAAAAATGTTTCTGAAATGTTTGTTTGTTGCGTTTTATTGCCGTTTAAAAACTAATTACATTTAGAATTTTTTCTTGTCTAATTACACTGGTCGACAAAATTCGACTTCTTCTATGTTATAAAAGATGTGATAGGTGATTTCGATAGGATTTTTCCCATAGATTACGAATCTGAAATCCAAAATGTTCCATCACATCACATTTTTTAGAAAAACGTGGTTAAAGTGTAAAAAAACCTGTTTTTATCACTTTTTGAACCTCTGCCACAAAGAAACAAGACGTTTTAGAATACTTTACATGGGCTCAACTTGAAGCTTATACTTTAAACTTTAAAGTTATGATGCCAAAAGCCATGTGATAATATTGTATAGTAGCGTAGCACAAGTTTTTTGATTGGGGTGCTCCCCAATTTTGCGTATGACAAGACCAGAATTTTGCGGATGACAGTACCAGAAGTGGTCAAAGTGCTAACGAAACTGTTCTTTTGGGGGTTTCCGGGATCGCTGATTTCGAATTTAGTATCCATATTCAAAATAGACAATGGTGGATTAACAAAAAGTTAAGTTAGTAGCGAACAATTAAAAATTTATGGAAACTTATCGATAATTTATGGTAACTTTTTTAAACCTCATTATTTCAATCTATTTTACGTCGGTTTACTTTAAGCCCTCCGTTGTAATCAAGTTCACTGTTAAATGCTAAAACGGAACTGGCGCGCGCCCAGTTGAAAAATTTGTGCTACACTACTGCACAATATAGTTACGTGGTTTTTGGCTTCATAACTTTAAAGTTTAAGGTTTACGTTTTAATTTGAGCCCACGTAAAGTATTTTATCACGTCCCGTTTCTTTGTGACAGAAGTTCAAAAAGCACCAAAAACAGGGTTTTTTTTAACATTTTGACCACGTTTTTCCAAAATATGTGACATGATGGAACATTTTGGGTTTTAGATTTGTAATCTAAAATCCTATTAAAATCACCTATCATTCCTTTTGTGGCAAAATCTTGTTGATCAGTGTTATTGTAACTGAAGGTATAGTAGATGTCGTTACGGCAAATATCATGTATATAAAGACACGTGTCTAACTTATTTTACCGTTTCCATTATAGAGTCTATAATGGAATGTGCTCTGTGCCGAGCAATCATATCGCAGATTGATGATGATTTAGGCGATCCGAGAGTCGACGCTAAAATCGAAGATACTGTTCTCAATGTGTGCAAACATCTGTTGCCATACAAGTACCAAACGGTAATGGATTATTATTTCGCTATTTTTACAAAAAGCCGTAATCTCACAAGAACTGTTTTGAGTTGAAAACTGTTTTGATTTAAATCTGTGTAGTGTAAGAGGATGGTGACGGTTTATGGGCCGAGTATAATAAACATGCTAAGGGACCACATGGACAGTGACAAGATATGCGATGAAATCTCTTTGTGCATTAAGGGTGAGTACTTCACAGCGTTATTAAATAGCAATTCACATGTACGATCGATTAACGAATACAAAAATGCACATAGGACATCGTTTTTTTACGCAAAAATGAAGAAATAGCTAGACTTTATAACATAAGTGTATCAACGAACGAGACCAATTAATCAATTAGATCAGAGCTCGGAATTAGTTGCCCGTTTCGGCCGATTCTCGGAAGCTACGCCTTCTATCTTCCCCTTGCCACGAGCGGGTCATGTAAGTAACGGTCGCGGCCAGTCGCGGCTTCAAGCTTGGAGACGCGACCGTCATTTGCGAGACCCACTCGCAGCAAGGGGAAGATAGAAGGCGTAACTCCCGAGAATCGGTCGAAATGGGCAACTAATTCCGAGCTCTGAGTTAGATGATAATCTCTAATTATTTGTTTTTTTTTTTTTTTTTTTTTTAATTAGCTTATGAAGCGATGCGAAGATCATCGCAAGAATGGCAAGTATAAATCATATGAGCCGCGCGAGTGAAAACAGCTGAAATCGGAAGACAAGCTACCAGCAGCGAGAACGGATAGTGATGTACACTATTCTCAACTGGAAGTTAGTTTGTTGAAGATTAGAATAGGTCGTATTTCACGTTATAACATTGTAAGGGTGATCTTTGTATAATCCGTGTTGTGTCGGAATAATATCGACCCGTGCACGTGCGTGTCGACGCTGTTAGCGTCAATCTTCCTCGAATCAAAAATTACCCGTAAATTACACATACTCATAAATTGACACAAAATTTTAATTATTAATAGCACTCTGCAGGAATGCCTTTTCTTCCATTACGTAAAATAAGTTTGCAATTTTGTAATCCGAATAGGAGAGCGTCACGATATTAAAAAGGATATTAACATGTATATCTATGCAATTTTTCCTTTTTTTTCTCAAATATATTCCAGGAATAATGAGATCTGTTACATTATATCATCTCGAGTTCAACTGTGATAATGGTAAAGTAAAAGACACGGAACCTATCGTTGTGAACTGCTTTGTAAATTGTGCAATCCTAAGTATATGATTAAAGAGCAATTTGTATTTGTTTAATAAAAATATTTTTGAAATATCCTAGGTAGAAGAGAATATATTTCGATAATCGTTTTCCTTATTCTTCTCTATATATACATACATACATACATATAGATATATAAAATATGTTTGTGTTTATATTTTATAATTGCGGTTACATTCTGGACACAACGAATAATAAACATGTCTTTGATCCTTAAATAATTTTATATGCGTTGTTTACTAAAAAAGAACGTGAAATCAATCGGTCACATTTAATGTATTGGGTTGGCAAATAAGTTCGTTCGGTTTTTTTGATTGGTATAAAATACAATTTATTTAATATACAAAATATATACTAATCAATAATGTATTGACCATTCTTTTCTGACTTCTTGCCATCTTTTTACCAATTTCATAATCCCACATTCATAAAACGTCTGAGGTTTACCGGCAAAAAACTGATCCAGTTGCGTTTTAACAGCTTCATTATTAGCAAAGTTTTTCCCGTTCAGAGAATTTTGCAGCGACCGGAACAAATGATAATCAGAGGGTGCCAGGTCCGGTGAATAAGGAGGGTGAGGTAAAACATCCCAGCCAAGCCTTAACAATTTGTTCCGAGTAGTTAATGAAGTATGGGGTCTGGCATTGTCGTGGTGGAAGACGACTCCTTTTCGATTTGCCAATTCTGGACGTTTTGAACGTATTGCTTGATTCAATTTCGTTAATTGGGAGCAATATACAGTTGAATCGATCGTCCTGCCTGATGGTAAGAGCTCATAATAAATGATACCTTTATAATCCCACCACACTGAGAGCATAATTTTCTTCGGGTGCAATCCTGCCTTCGAGGTTGTTTGTGGTGGTTCACTGCTGCTTCCCCATGATCTTTTACGTACTACGTTATCGTAGACGATCCACTTTTCATCTCCCGTAACCAACCGCTTCAAAAATGGATCGTTTTCTTGGCGTTTCAGCAGCGCGTCGCAGATGGAAATGCGAGCGGTTAAGTTGGCCTCGGTCAATTCGTGCGGCACCCAAACATTGAGGCGAGAAACGTATCCCAACTGACGCAAATGGTTTTCTACACTTGTGTGGGATATATTAAGTGTCGTAGCAATCTCTCGTACTGTTTGCGATGGATTTTTGTCGACGGTATTCTTTATTACAGCTGAATCAATCTCTGCTGGACGACCAGAACGGGACGCGTCACTAACATCAAAATCTCCAGAACGGAATTTGGCAAACCATTTTTGACATACACGTTCTGTTAAAGCATCGTCCCCATACACATTACAAATCTTTTTATGAGCTTCCGCAGCTCGTTTGCCTTTTTTGAAATAAAAAAGTAAAATATGGCGAAAATGGACGTTCTTTTCTTCCATATTTGCAACCGTGCAGTACGCACAATACTCTGGTATTAACCGGCGTATGTTTACAAATAGGTTAGGTGGAACGTCGCTTTTCAGCTGCGCAAGCGCGTTGTGCGATAACGCTGTGGAAAAGAGATAGCAGAACGAGTAAACCTACTCCGATTAAAAAACCGAACGAACTTATTTGCCAACCCAATAAAATATGTGTTTAGAATAAAATTAGCAACATTTTTCAATATAAGTAATTTATTTTCTTTAGAATCGTACTTGTAAACATTTGGAGTTAATTTTTCAACTTTTTGTGCTTGTTTTTCTATACTGGGGCTGCGTTCCAAAATTCACTGCCAGTACTGAAATTCTATAGTATAACATGAACTATACATTTTCAGTATTGGCAGTGAATTTCGAAACGCAGCCTGGAGCTTTCAGCTGTAACATCTCTGCCATATTTTTACAATTATGTACAAGTTTTACAATATCTATTTAATTTTAAGTACCAGTTAAGTACCTAGTAGTGATTGGTTAACTTTTCTTAATATCAAATGCGATTGGTCAAGTCCAATGGAATAGCCAGTTAACTGGAGGTTGTGGAACTGGGCCTTAGGCCGATATTCATAGTCGAATCTTATTTCAAACCATCTTAAATAGGGATGGGCAAAAAGAATCGATGTTTAGAAAACATCGATGTTCACTCATTGAGGATAGTATTACATGTAGAGAGTCGTACATCGATTGGTTGTCGGACAGAGAATTTCTAGAGACCCTAACATTTTCTTTACATGTAATACTATCCTCAATGAGCGAACATCGATCACGCTCGTGACGTTGCGAGTGTGGCATTGTGAGCATATAACGGAACGCACCCATAGATACACAATCGACCCTCAGACCAATTGTAGCTGCGTTCTGGCTCGATTGTGTATCTGAAAACGGAGTGAAAATGGGCGCATTCAGTAGAAAAAGCGCTCAGTGAGCAATCAACGATTATTGGTTCTTGCTATTAGATCCCTAAATCTAGACCAATTACATTGACAAATTACTCAACTGTTGTGCAATTGTTGAGTCTGCTGAATGCAGCCAATGACAAAAGTGAGCAAATATACTAAAATATTTGTAACTTCATTGATCAATGCCTAATGAAGTTGTTCACTTTTGTAATTTTCACTCCATTTCGAGATACACAATCGACCTCCAGATTCCTCATCCGGATGCACTCTATTACTAGAAACATGCTGCGTCCGGGAACGTCACTCGAGTACTCTCCCTCTCTTTTTATTTCACTCTTGTATTTCGTTCACTCCAACGGCTATCGTCTAGCAGAGGTGGGACCCGATTGACTACGATACGATTGGACACAAATTGTAATTATTGATTCGACCTAGTAATTCACTAGATAATTCTTTTCATCGGTTGGTTGTGTCCAATCGTACCGTGGTCGATCGGGACGCTCCCGTCTAGTAGTGTGCACACAGTGTGTGTTTCCGAACGCAGCCACATTATGGCCGGTATTCATAGTCCGATTTTAAGGCTTGTCTACAATAGCTGTAGGAATATGGCTGTAAGGCTGTAACGTGAGCTGTCAGCGAATGAAAATAATTCATTTCGCGTCTTAAGGCCATTCTACAATAGCTGTAAGAACATGGCTGTAAGGCTGTAAAATCCGAAATGAATTATTTTCATTCGCTGACAGCTCACGTTACAGCCTTACAGCCATATTCTTACAGCTATTGTAGAATAACCTTTACAGCCTTATGGCTCCTGCACATAGGACGCGGTAATACTTGCCGCGCGGCGGAAGTTTGCGCGACAGCCCATCAATGCTGCTTTCCGTAATAACTTTCTAGCTCTTACAGAAAAACAACATATTGATTGGCTATCGCGCGGACTTCCGCCGCGCGGCAAGCATTACCGCATCCTGTGTGCAGAAGCCATAACGGTTACCGATAACACCGACTTTAACTAGGTTAGGTTCCCTCCAACATTCGTTTCGTTTATGGCTTGGTTTACATCGTGCACTTGATACGCGTATTAAATAGTAACTTTCTATTAGATAATCTTAATATCGACGATATATATAAATAACGGTATATTAAGCTGGTATAATATTGATCAAGAAGACTTATTTTATCGATTGAATGCGTCGTCGTTGATATACATTGTCAATATTAAGATTATTTAATAGAAAGTTATTATATAGTACGCGTATCAAATGCACGATGTAAACCAAGCCAATATCGTCATTTGTATCATTTGATACGCGTATTGGCTTGGTTTACATCGTGCACTTGATACGCGTACTAAATAGTAACTTTCTATTAGATGATCTTAATATCGACAATGCATATCAACGGTGGCGCATTCAATCAATACAATACGTTTTGTCGATGAGTATTATATTAGCTTAGTATATCGTTGTTTGAACAAATCTAGTACCTGATAAGGTGCTGTAACGTCCGGATCTATTTTAGAACATTAATAGTATATTATTATAGACCGGGAGGCCGACTTGTCTGATTTCAGACATCACTAGACATTTTATCCCTATGTTACTAGATGTAAGTACGTGCGCATATGTATATTCGCGAGCGTTAAAACATTATAATTAAAATGCCGAATGCTGCGAATGCTGCTGGAGAGTCTTGAAATCGACGGATCGACCTAAAGAAACCGTTA